CAGATACGCTGAAAGGTGACTCTAAGACTGATTTTCTTAATTACCAATTTTTTTAAAGGTCGAATTTGCTGTCGACGACAAATTCTTGTTTGTTTCTTATACGACGAGGCGTTATTTTTTATGTGTAAAATCCAGCGAGTCTGTTTTTAGCATCAGTCAGATCTTTTACTTCGATATCTTAAGTAGTTGTTTAAGAAATTTGCTATCTTTAAATGCATCTCCGTTCGTTCTTTGCGTGGTTAAGTAATTTTTGTCACTTAATACTTGATTCAAAGCAAATATTTTTAAAGACTTTGCTACTGTTGCGTTTGCCGCTATTGTGGCTACGTGCTGCTTGCTGAATGTTTTTCCATTTTGCTGTGCTGTAGAGGAGGTAGGAACAGAGGAAAGAAGAAACTGGTCCCTGAACCACACTGCACCAATAACTTAGTAAGCGCATTAGATTCCAGTAAAATTTCTAGCAACTGTTCTTAAGTCACAAATGTGGTGAGTAAAATGACGCCAAAACAGCCCCAGGGCTCTCCAGGTAAGCCATTTGAAGAGCTTTAATCTAGACTCAAGCTACCTTTTTTTTAAGGAGTCAGCAAAAGAAATCATCGTATCCTCGCTGACAAAAACATAAAAACTAGAAGTGGACTTTCCTATGTTTATAGCGGGCCCAGATACTTTTGCCTAAAGTTCAGTAGAAGTGGACTACTTTTTACGGAGAATATTAAAAACTGATAAAAGCTAATTCTCTTTCGTCGTTTGTTACGCTCCCTCAAAATGGCAAAATTTGCCTGTTTGCCGTTTGACATGCCGTTGTGAGCCTGTAATTTACCTTCTTCTTAACAGAATTCAACAATTTTTTTCATTGCCCTGAACTTTTGAACGCATATTTATCATTTTGATTTCATCAAAAAGACAACATAAATAAAATAAAAATAAGACTTCAAAAAGACATTTAAAAAACTCAAGTTTTAAATTTTTAAAAAATATACATATTTTGTGTAGAATTTTTTGCTCTACGACATACCAGATTTTAGTGATCGCGATTTTTTGGTACCAAAAGTTACGAGCCTGAACAGAATGTAAACCTAAAAAACTCCACTATTTTTACAGTAATTCCATATATTTTACACCGAGGAAACCATATAGAGCCAGTTAAGAAGGCCACAGCGGGCACTTACAAAAACACAGTCTGCCTTGAACGTTAGAACTTTGTTACAAAAATTGTGTTTTACTTCAAAATATTAACAAACTGTTATCCTGCCAAGTTGTAAGAAGTAATTTTCATTTTAGTGTTTTCTGCTTCTTGTATTTCGTAGTTTCTGGAATCTCAGGATTATGGTCTATAAGGTGCTTGTTAGTTTCGGTTGCACAAGCTCAATTTTCAACTTTTTCCTTAGAATTAAGTTAGGTGTCGTAGTTCTCCAAAAAAAATGAAAAGCCTAAGGTAAACCTTAACCCCGCAGCTAAAAAAGTGAAGCAGAAAGTTTTCTCGTTTTTTTGTGGCGCCAATATGTATATTAGTAAATAATTTTAACAGAATGAAATACAAGAGGCGGAAGGCACCGGAATGACATCTGGAAAGGCCAATTCTTACATGTAATACAATAATTCGTTGATATTTCGAAGTAAAATACAATTTCCGTAACAAATTTTGAACGTTCAAAGTATACCGGATTCTTATAACAAGTGCTTGCGGCTTTCGGAGGCGGTCAAGACGCTTTCGTCACGTGAAATATATGGGATTACTGTAAAAACAACAAGTTTTTTCTTTCCCACACTCCTTCCTGGCTCGTATCTCTCGATACCAAAAGATCACCATCACCAAAATTTAATATGTAGAGCAAAAAATTCTACGCAAAATACGTCCCTTTTCAGAAAATTTGAAAACACGTTTTTTCTTTTGTATTTTTGTTTGAAATATTATTTTTTGCTACATCTATGTGATTTTTCATCAGTATTAAAACGTTTAATATGCATTTAACTCAGGTCATGAGAAACCTAATCAATAAAAACAGTTAAATCCTCTCAAGGACGGGGTAGATTACAAGTTTGCAAAAGCAGGTTTGTCAAGTGGCAACCCGGCAAATTCTGCAACTTTGACGCGGTGTAACTTGGCGGAGATTTCACTTTTCCAGGCCGTTTTTTTGGCTTTCTGTATAATGGGCTGGACTCTAGTAACCAAAAAATTCAACAAAAATCTGAAATATGAAGTGTGGAAAAACTGCGCGATTTAGCGTGGAATGGTCTATACATATATAACATGCGGTTTAAAACCACTTCTCAATGGTAGCACCTTCAAGCTCTTTACCTTTTCACTTTTTTATGACGGTCACTACACACACGCACTGTACACGTACTGACACTTCAATTTGAATTCGCAACCTGTTGAAGCAAAAAGCGCTCAAGATGATTGAGTGTCGCCGACTCGTCATTTTGAGCAATATTTTTTAATATAAAGTTAACCTCGAAAAACCTAAACTTTCCTCTCTTATTTTTCTTTCGCCTGTTTATAGTTTTCCTATCTCAAATGTATTTATGCTTTTGACTGTGAGTAAAACCATTTCCTGTAAATTTGTGAGATTTATAAAACATACCAGTTCCTTTCTGTAAAACCTGGATCAATTTCAATATCTTTTTCCAATTTTCCTTCATTTTCAGCTGCACATGAGTTAATACATCAGCTCAATAAACACGATGCATTACGGTGCTTGTGCCACTAGAGGGTGTGTCGTCTTCTGATTGAAACTGCAGATTTAAAGTACCAGCCTAAAACCTTTTTTAAAACTGGGCATGATTCTTGACTAAATTTTGTCGTTTGGTCGACTACTCCTCAATATTATACAATCGTAGAGGAAGTTCGAAGATGAACTGTCCATCGTTGCCGATATTTCCCATGATGCAGTACTATTTTTACAAGACAATATTTTGCTTATTGTCGCTAGTTAAGTGAGAACGGTAATATCTTCTTCTACAATTATATTGTCGTTGATCTTTTTTAATGAAAAGAAGCTTCATTCTATGTTTTAAATGTCAATGTTATCAGAAATCCGCTACCTTTTGCCGTCCAAAAATGCCGTCAAGGCATCCCAGCACAGAGAAGCATTTAGAGACATTAAATGGAAGAGAAAAAGTAATGGTGGTTGCGAGTCCCCGGATTTTTGGGTACTAGCGGGCCAGCATTGAGCGGCTGATTATTAAAATACAAAAAAAGTTGCAAAAAAAATATCGACAAAAAAGAATGGTCCATTTCCACGACTACTTCCCGAGAAAGTTTAATACTGAAGAATAAACAGCTAGGCAACGTGATACAGTCAAAAATCATGTTGAATCTTTAAAACGGCTATAAGTTGATACTTCGCATCTCCAGCATAAATCAGAAAACCTATCTATTTCCCATATGATACAAGTATCATAAAACAGTGTATTTATTGAGCTACCCTACTGGCTTCTCTGCATCCGGGCTCGGAAAAATGTACAAAAAAGTCGTTAGAGCCCACCTAAGTATTATGCAGAAAACCTAGACAACTCATAAATTTCATAATTTTACAGAAAAAGTCCTATTGCAAACAATACGCTTATGAACCACGTCTGGCATGAATAACATGCAAGGATACACAGAACACGAAGTTCAAAAAAAAATTTGTATCCTTCAAATCAATTTTACCTTGAAAAGTAATACCCGAAATAACAAGACCTTAAAATTCAGCCAATATGAGTGCCTTCTACTATGACTAATTGTTGAATTAAGTTGAAATGAAAATACTTGTACATACGCATACATAGTAACCGTCACAAAAACAAGAAAA